AAAAATCAGCCACATCAATATTAGAATCATGCTTTAGTGTTTACTGTTTAGGATGAAGGATTTGCAAAGAAGAGTAAAAGGGTAAAATACTACAATTAAAAAGTGAACATCTTCCTAACTATTGAAATCCAATTTGACATACACATGCATAAATCAATCTAACTGAGACAAACAAAAACTAGTGGTTCAAAGACTATACATGGTTCTCATGTTGTGAAGACGGTCTGCTAGTTTGATAAGCACCACACGTGGATCATCAACCATGCCCAGTAGCATCACTCGTAAATTATTTGCCTGTACACAAATATACATACAACAAAATAAGAAAAGAAAGCATAGTGCATACCTACTAACTTCAGGGAATAAACAAAGCTATGCTAAAGGAATGTGCAAAGACCTTGTTTTCGCGGCTCTCAGAAGTCACACTTGTTTGAGAATTTCAGATATAATAAAGAGCTCAACGTGAGAACAAATATAATATATGAGATTGAGGGACATGAAATCACTTACTGCCTTACAAAAGACTTGGATGTCATCACATCTATTAGTACATTAAGTTTTAGTTCAAAACCACGAAGAAGAGTACGCTGGCAAGATGGAAGTAGCAGGACTACATCAAAGAATATACAAGAATGACTGAAGAGCTCTTATTATCAACATGATCCAAAAAGTGATCACATTATTTCAGATTTTATGCAATAGTAAACTATCTCAACAACATGCTAGATGTGTACATATTAGATACTTTAAACGATCTTAATGTGCATTCAAGTACCTCATCATGTCTAAGTGCAGCTTGGTTCACATTTAACCTTATTATCTGTTGAGAATATAATATAAATAATAAAAGTGTGCCTCTAGCAACTTAAGCTTTTAGATGAGATGGCCACACATCAATATTATCAATATTTTCCAAAAAGCCATCACAATATTTCAGATTATATGCAATGGCCAACTATCTTAATAACATGCAAGGTGTCTACATATTAGATATTTAAAATGATCTTGATTCGCATTCAAGTACCTCATCATGGCTAAGTGCAGCTTGATTCACATTTAACCTGCGATGCCTCCTTAACAACTGCATGGAAAATTTCACTTAAAAGTCGGGACATAAGTGAGAACTATGAAGAAGACAAGGAAAAAGAAACCAATCGCTGCACATGAATCAAAAATCCTGTTGCCATTTTGGGGTGTCCATTATTCCACTCATATAAAAGAGAAACTTTTTCCTTTATACTGTACTCTATTGCAAAAATCATAAGTATTGCCTCATAGTTGCATTTCTTTAAAAAGAGTAATCTCTATCTTTCTTGTTGGTTACTTTCATTTAAATACAGTGACATACGATTCTTGTTAACTAAAGATATACGGCTAAGAAGGACCGCAATTTTCAGAATTTAAATTGAGGCATAGCATTGACTCATCAACTTTCGTATTTACAATGTCCTGAGTTAAACTTATATCACCATTTCAAACTATGACTAAAATCAGAGTTGTAACTTAAAATCCGTCATAACTGATCATAGTGCATACAGTACCTGATTGATGAAACTTAACCTAGAAACACCTGCTACCAAATTTGCAACATCAGAGTCAAACTCTCTCTCTATAGTGTCCAAACTTTCACCCGTATCATCAACAACATCATGGAGAATTCCCGCAACAACCGTATCAATGGCCTGTAAAAAATTAGCAGTTACAATGTGCAAATTCACTTAGGAGACCTACGTAATACAGTGTGTGTATTACTTTCAACATATTACAAGAGAACAAGGAACCTAACTAAACATATGTAGAGATATATGAGATGTTGAAGACAGAACTGTACCCTTTTCCCAGTTGATGGAACCAAGACAGCTACAATTTTTCCTGTGTGAATACAATGTGTTAAATACGGCTCTCCAGTTCTGCGAAGCTGTCCATTGTGAGCTTTTCGTGCAAATGCAATAGCCTTCTGCACCTGCCTTCACAGATTCAGAATTTAGGGGCACTATTTACAAATGTGTATATTGACATCAGCAAGTGCAAGTTGAGATGGTAAACCTTATCATCATTGAAGATGGGGTATCCAGTGACATCTACTCCATCCAATAAGAGTGATCCTGCAGAAGAATCACACGTACTTACTAGCCCTTATGGCGTATAATCTTTATCAGTTAAGAAGAAGTAGATGTTTAACTAAGTAAATACTAGTATTCTATCAAGTTCATAGAATTCTATAGAGGGAATTCATTGAACAGATCGTTAACTGAAGAGGCTTCTTCATCTCCATTCTATACATCTCAGGCACATGTAATTTGTACACTTCCATATATCGAATAGAATATAAGACTTCCTCATATGCTATAAATCATACACTTCAATGAATCCTATAGAGGGAAAAGTCCAGAATGTACATATTATAAGCAACAAAGGAGAGGAAAAAGTGAGAACTGCTTATTTACTAGACTAGCTGAACATGTAAGAAAATGCATAAAATCTAAGGATTTCCGTAGCAATAGTGAAGTTACAGTTTACAGACAGTAATACATGCAAAAGTTAGGGACAAGCTCCCATTGAGAACTTCTGGAAGGAAAAAGCTCCATAGGAACGGCAAAAGGTATCTACTACAAGATATAAACTTCTGTTCCTGTCCCCTGCGATCGCTGAACTTAAAAGGTGCAATCCATATTGATATACTTTGTGTAATCCATATTGATATACTTTTTTCTAGTCCAACAGAACACAGAAATTCTTCTAAAATCCAACTGCAGTCAAAGTTGCTTTCCTAAAACAAAAACTGCCGGCAGTCACAGGGTCACATACTTCCAACGGAACCTATACTTCTTCTGCAACTTTATATGAAATTTAAAAAATATAGAAACTGAAAAAATTGCGAGAGGACAGAAAGTAGGAACTCACCAGGTTGTTCATCCACTTTGGGCCACAAAAAATCGACCTTAGTAGAAAGGCAAGCTCCGGATGCAATCGCCACCGCCGTAACAGCAACCTGCGTTATCGCTGACGTGACTGCTCCGTGAACTGAACCACCACTGACCGCCGCTGCCGCAGCAATTGCGTTGCCGGAAGTCAACACGGAGCTTAAGGACGATGAAACAGTGAATTTGGGCACAATCTGATCGAGAACACATCGGAATTTCACATTTCTACGAAGACCTTGACAGGGGAAAAACAGCAACAACGGATTCTTACGCAGAATCAACGCACTTCTGTGGCAAAACATAGTGGAATTTTGACATGAACACATGTCTTTGCTTTGATCGAAAAATGGAATCAAATCAAAGCAAGTGAAAGAATCGAAACTCCATGAAAATTGGAGGAGTTGAACATGAGATTTGTGTGATTTAACAGTAGGTAATGTGTGGTACAAAGTGAGGGGCCTTTTTCTATACTGGTGGTTGTGATTTCTTTTTTTTTTTTTTTCTTTTTGATTCTATTGTTGATTATGATAGAGAGTGAAAGTTGATCAGTTAAAAAGGGACAAATATGAACAAAATAATACTTAATAATAGAGATTGATAATATATATAATGGGTTAAAATTAAGGTAATTACTTCTTCAATTGTGCATCATCGTATTTTAATTTTTTTAACTTGTTTAAGAAAATAGATTAGTTAATTTTTTCTACTAATCATGCCATAGTTTTTCTTTAAGCTAATATGGTCCCAATTCCATTACATTTAACTTTTAAGAGCGCACACATCCTTATATTTCATTAGTTACTTTTTCTAGTTTCTCTTCAGTGGGATGGCTGGTCGGGGTTGAAGTGGTTTTCTAAAGGAGTGAGGACGGTCTAAATAATTTTATGTGAATTTAAATTAAATTTTAATTTTTTATCTGTTATAAAAATGATAAAAAATTATCTATTTTTTTTATAGTTACTAAAATCAATAAGACAGTACATGAAAATTTTTCAATCAAAATCAATACAAGAATAAAAATTTAAAGCATTATCTATTATATTAATACACTTCAATAAAAAAATGAATTTGTTTTTGTGAACTTTAATTTTAGTATCAAACTCAACTAGAAAAATTATGTGAGGCTAATTGAAAATGAAAAAAATTGTTACACAGGATAGAAAAAATTAAGCTTGACCCGTTCCGCCCCGTTGTCATCCCTAAATAAAAGTCTAAATTTCATATATAAATTTTTAACTCTTTTTCTTAATCCCTCTGTCCTTAATTACTTGTCCATTTTTTCTTTTATAATTGTCCCTAATTACTTGTCCATTTTAAAAAATCAAGAAAAGATAAAAAAAATTAATTTGTTATATCCTCAATTAAATGACTAATTACTTTTAAAAATATAGAACATTTTATCCACTTCATAATTAATAAACGTAAAATGATAAACTAATACGTTATTAATTATATTTTAATAGATATAACAATTTAAAAGTGGATAAGTAAAAAGAAACGGAGGCAATCCATGTCATCTCTTTTTGGTTCTTATCCCAGCAAACCTAAAAAAGGCAAATTGGATCCAGCAGAGAGTATCTGTTCGTCTTATCCAAAACATGAGAAATACAAAGAATTTGTTTATTTGCATATTTCTCTATTGGTGAAATAGTCAATCTAAATTATGACAGTACATATTGTAGCAAAAGGTAAGTTTATGTATATATTTTTTTTTACGACAAGAAAAATCCGCTGTCGCTATCCTTTTAGTATGCACAGGGTAAAATCCCAATTTTATGTAATAGCTTGCAAATCATATAGGAAAGGTAACCCGCACCAGGCCACATAGAAGACAAACTCCTTGTTTTCGCTGATAAAGGATTTCGAACTTGAGACCTCCAACATGGAAGTCCCAAACTTAAACCACGAGGCCACCCCAAAAGGTAGTTTATATTGTATCACCACTCATACATAATTTCGAATTCAAATGACAATGACATTGCTCTTCTTTCTCCAGAACTTACTCTTCGCATTGCTTAGAGAACCCACCACAACTTTAACAAAATATGAAACTAATTGCGTTAAAAGAGATTTAACTCAAAACTGGCACAATGAAAGATGGAGCCAAAAAATCTTGTATTGGACATCTGTAGACTAGATGATTAGTCACCATATTCACCTGGAAGTATACTGCAGTTGGTATCAACAGAAGCGTTCATAGTGTCTGGTTAACATAATCTGCAAGGCCCAGGTTTCAAATATACAACAGAATCAAAGACCAAGAATCACACTAGATTAAGGAAACAACTGCCTCATCTGCTCCATAAGCACTAAAAACACAGATCTAAGAACAGAAGGATAAACACTGTCATTGCGAGATCATGACCCTCCAACTTATAAATAGCCAGATGTTCAGTGATGCTCCTCGAAAAGAAGTTCAAGTTCGTTAGTAAGCCTGCAACAGGTATTTGGTAGTTAGATAAGCTGCTTATGGATAGTAGCTACAACTGTGTAAGATTTTGAGGTTAGGTCTAAACCTGATCACTCAGAAGGACGGGCCTATTGAAGAGAATCCCGCGGCCTTGTGTTCTTTCAAAGTGCTGGCTAACCAGTCCAATCCCTCGTATAGGCCATCCCCTCTAAGAGCACATGTACCTTGTATATGCCATTTTCGATTTTTAAGCTCATAGAGACCAAGGCCTTCACACACTTCCATTGGTGTCATTGCTCCTTTCTGGACAAAAAAATATTCAAGATAAAAGTTCTACCCAATACTAAAAGGGAGGAAATGTTATGTTGATAGATGAAAATTTTAATTTCTTGCTACTAGGTGATACATGAAACATTAATTTGTACGTTGTTTGGTATGATTAGGAGAAACATAAAGGAAATCTGACTCATCCCCACTACCCATACAATGTTGGAAGGGTCTGAAAGAAATGCTATTGAAGGATTAGGACACTTTCCACCTTCATTTCCTAACCAAATGAGAGGATTAGGTGGAACCATCACATCCATCTTCAATTCTCCTACAGATGTACAACTTTTCATCCTAATGTTTACTGTGCAAAACATTTTTGTTGATGAAGCTGTGCAAGGCATGGGATATTAGAAAAACAAACCACCAGCATATTTGAAACCATCAAGCAGGTGATGGTGCAAGAGGGAACTAAAACTGACTTTACGATTTAAAACACCACAAGGATAAAGTGATCGATTTCTATTACAGAAATGGGTACAGTTTTTACTTAAGTCAACTGTAAATCCTCACCCCAACCCACCAAGCCTTGGGAATCAGCAGTAGTTGCCCACTGTTTTCCCCTGTACATAATATGGACTCCCAACCAATTGGTCTGGAGTGAAGGTCTCTACCATTAGAGCAAGCCTTGCATTTCAGATGGTATGTAATTTTTCAGATCACAGTTAAGACAGGAATAGACAGTTCGTGTTACACTGTTAAGCTTAAAATCACAAAATCAACAGAGGACAAACCTTGGTTCACAACAGGTGGCTAATACATAATTGAATGCATATTTGTTGTGCCCAAAGTTTTAATCAATGTTGAAAGCATTGCACATTTTAAAGATATCATTTGTTTTTTACTAGTTTAGGATTTGCACACGAATACTAAGAAGTTAGCTAACCAAGCAGTACGCTCCAGCCTCAAGCCATTTTTGGCTTATTGAGGGATGAAGAATTCCACTTTTGCGCTCTTATTGAGGTGCTTAAATGTGATTCATACCCCCCAGAAAGTGAGTCAAAAGTGATCACCCATTAAGGGGGATACTTAAAATGTATATCTAGAGAAGTGTTTCTAAAAGTAAAAAGCGCAAACAAACCGATAAAGTTCCCGTGACTTGTCTTTAAGGAAGCAGTGAGAGGCAAAGCACACAATTTAATAAATACAAAAAGTTACCTAATACATAAATATAGTATTTATAGCATAGATAATGCAGTTAATGGTACTGGTTTCAGTGTGTAATTAATAACATTACAGTATAAATACAAACACCACTATTAAACATAATAGAAGCTGCTTCCTCTGTCCCAATTGTATGACATCTTTTATGTTATGAGAGTCAAACAGTTTAAGTTTGATCGGAAATTTGATCATGAAATCTTCAATTTTTTTGAAATGAAATTTATATAGTTGTAAACTACGTAAAAATTACTATGAGTCACAATAATTGATAATTCAAAATGTTTAAAAGATCTATGAAAAATTTATGGTAAAAAATAAACTTGTTTGACTCTTGAAATCCAAAAGGTGACATATAAAATGGGACGAAGGAAGTAATATCAACAAATCCACACAAAAATAAAAGTTCCAATTACAGAATATATTTTGGTTTTCAAAAATTCAGCAACGAAAATAATTATTTTGCATCATTTAACATACGTCATAGTTTTATTGCTTTATCAACTACAGCTCTACTTTCTTCTTAAAAAATTAAGAAAATATATTTATGTGGTTCCTTTTGTTAAATCTATCTTTTTAATTTTCCTAACAATCACTCCATAGGTGAGGAAGTGGATGATAAAGAAATGAATGAGTAAACAGGCAAGAAATAGAGCAAAACAGTTGTAGGAAGAGATATATAGTTGAAAAGAAAAATGAATTAAAAAATGAGAAGCAGTAGCAGAGAGAAAAAGAAGGAAAAAGAGAGCTAAAGAAGCTTTGGAGAAACTGAAGTCGAAGAAGAGTCATCACACACTAGAAACAGGAAGGGAAAAGAAGGTTGAAGCTTAGATGTGACTCAAAGTTTCCCTTTTATTTTACTTATAAAGGTCCAAAGAAATGAGCAATCCTCACTTCGATTGCTTTGTAATTCTTCACCATTTAGATGTTCATGACATCCCCTTGCTTTTAGGTGACAAAAATTATGTCTTGCTTTCAATAACACTTATCAAGATGCTCACCTAGCCACAAGAATCAGCAGCCAGCATTACAAATCATGTCGACGGAGCCAAGTAATTCAATGATAATGGAGATCTACTTACTGATGGTATTGTTGAAGAGACAGGAAGAAAAGGAAAAAAGAAAGAGCTGTTTCTTTGGTGGACACTGGAAAGCAAGAAAGAAAATAAGGGCGATTGTGTGCATTTGTTCATCGGGCACCATATTAACCTACATTGATTATTGGAGAATACTGAAACAAACACCAGTTTGGTTTCACTAGTACATGTGTTAAGTTTTTTTAGATAGGTGACAAATAGGTAGGTTTCACTAATCAAGGAGTTGAGGCCTCAAGTAAATCATACTCATGCAGAGGAAATTTCAGTTGACATGCTACACAGGGAACATCTCAAAGTCCAGGACAATGGATCTGATAAATTGTTAAATAAAATACATAGCTAAGTCGCTCAGACTCGGGTGCTGGTGTCTGATACGGGTGCGGATCTAGAGGTTAAATCATTCCTGATCTAATTTTTCAGATTCAGGGATATGGATCCATGTACGGATACGGGTGCAGGGATTTGCCTAAAAATAATTAAAATATCTAAAAATAGAGTTATAAAACCTAAAAAAAAATTGGAAAAGATTAAAGGAAAAGGAGCGACATTGAAATTTGTATATAAAATATATTCTATTTTCTTCAATTTCACCTTAACTTTTTGTATTGATTACAGAAATCTTTAAAACTATCTAGACTTTCCCCATCGATTTTGGTCAAAGTACACAAAATTGGTTGACCAAATCGGACACGGATCCCACACCCATGTTGTGTCCACACGGGTGCGACACCAAAAATGAAGAGTCCGAGCAACTTAGATACACAGTATCTTTGAACCTCTATTTTCTTGGGTTCATTTAATAGCTTTGGACTTACATTTTTTATGTCTAAAGACCAAGTAAAAAGAGCAAAATAGAAAATAAGCATTTAATTCCATAATGTGGACTAGGAAACATACTGGAACGAAAGAAACTTACCATGTCTTGTTTGTTAGCAAAAACCAGGATGATTGCATTAAGCATAAATGGATCTCTGATGATGGCCTGAAAACACATGATAAAGGTTATTAGATTATGTCACCATCAAAGAAGCCCAAGCCATAAAATCAATGTTCGGAAAAAAACCTGAAATTCTAGTTTTGCCTTTCCAATCCTCTCTCGATCCAAAGAGTCGACGACATAAATCTGTATAAGATAAAACACTTAGTTGAAGCAATATGGTACCCAGTTTAGAGAGACAGTGCATCCCAAACAAGAAATTGAAATACATAAACAACGGAAATGGCAATTTTTGTCAATCATGAGGAAATGGGCCTATACATTTGATATTATATGCTTATTTTGTACACCACATTCAAACATTTGGATGTTATACGTGTCAACAAAGCAGAGAAACCCACTGGCACTTCCTATTACACTGTACAGTTGTTGTAGATATTTGGAACATGTTCATTTTCAGTTTTTGGACTAAGTTGGGTCATGCATATCCTATGTGATGGAGTTCTTGGAGATATGGTAGGTCCATCAGGAATATCTGGAAACTAATTTCAGCCTGTTATCTTTTGTTGTGTTTGGAGAGAAAGGAAGAAACGATGTTCCAATGAAATACCATCCAAGCCACTCCTTTAAGGCTAGTCTGGAGACTCCCCTGACACTTTTTTGGGCTTCAAGCTCCCTATCTTTAGTATAGGACCCCCTGTAATGAAGCTAACAAACTCACTTTTGTACATATTATCTTCTGTATTATTTGAATCTTCTTGATTCTATCAATGAAACAACCTCATCAAAAAAAAATTAAAAACAAGTACTATCTAATGGGTGCAGTTACCAATCCATCTGTGTTATTGAAGTAATGTCTCCACAGTGGCCTTAATTTCTCTTGTCCACCAACATCCCACACAGTAAAAATTACATTTTTGTACTGTACTTTTTCCACGTTGAATCCTGCAAGACGTGCATACACAATCATCTATTATAATGGTTTCAAACACACACAGACAGTATTCAGATAGTGATAGGTGCTTTAGGTATTATTCTCCCGGAACTTCTATGGCATTACAAGCATGGAGAAATTTTTACATCAAGACTCGAGATTTCAAATTAACCTTCAGCAAATATTATGTTTAGATAATAAGCAATGACAGAATCAGAAAACCGTAACCTATGGTAAGCCACATAAGATAAAATCTGTGGTTCAAGATGTGATAAATGAAATATTTAAGAAAATGAAAATGATTACCATACGGAAGAAGAGATGTAGGATGTATGTGACTCACCCTCACCCTCTTCCCCCCCTCCCCCCCCCCCCCCAAAAAAAAAAAAAAGAGGTAGGAAGTACGCCATGTAATAAAGTGTTGCACTGACCACCGGGAGGCAGTTTGCAAGTAAGATAGATAGGAGAAGCAGCATCCACTACAGTTCTATTAACTATTTTGTTAAAGTTCAATTTCTCAATAATGTTCATGACGTAGCAAGTACTAGCCACTTTGGTTAATTTGTAATGAACTAATGATGACCAATAAAATGAATAAACTGTGGTCTCCTACAAGTTCATTCCCCATTTTTATTTTATTTTATTTTATTTTCATAGCAGTAGTGTCTGGCACCTTTCGCACTTTGGCTAATCCACCGGATACCTGCTAGCTCTCACTTGCGCATGTACCGATAACTCTGTCAAGCAACGAGAAACAAAAAAGAAAGTAACATGCCCAAGCTGACTCTGATATTACCAAGCAGATCTATTGAATTTTATCTTCCTTTTTTTCATCAAGAGCAGATCCATTGAAGTTTAACAAATACAAACTTCACAATCAAAGTGCCACACAACAGTGAACAGAAGCTAAGACAGCATACCGATAGTAGGAACTGTTGATAGAACTTCTCCTATGTGCAGTTTGTATAATATAGTTGTTTTTCCAGCCGCATCAAGGCCAAGCATTACAACCTGTTCCGGTTGAAATTAAAGCCAGAGACGAGCAAATAACAGTAGACATCAATATGACACAAGATAACAAAATCCTAAAAAAAATTACACATTCAAGCAGAAAAATCTAAAATCTATAAATAGAACTCCTGCAGGAAACAAGATGAGATTCAAGTTGGTGAACATAGGTAGCAAAAATGCAACTCCTTGAAGAGTGATAGTAAAAATTACATGCCTAAATTATTATCGCTTCTAGTGCAGAAATGAATTTACTCTACAAAAACCACACCGCTTTGAAGCAGTTTTTAGTTAAAAGAGAGGGACAATAGTCACTCAGGGAAGCAAATTGGTTTTTCCCTAAAGAAACTCTCATCCCATACACATTGGACGTCATACTACTAACTTAAGGAAGAAAAATTTACTTGATGATATTTCATATCTGGGGATGACGCTGACTATGATCACATCATTAGTGACATGGTTAAGGTACCTATAAATTTATGGAGGACCTTTTTCAGCTTCCCTTGAATATAAATTTGTTACCCTGTCTACTTAAGCTCTTTCTTGCATCAAAATTTTTTCAACTACACCTCAATTCTAACTAGTCCGTGGCAGCTAAATGAATCCTCTGTAACTGTTCCACTTCAAAACGACTCCTCCCATTCCAAATCTAAGTAATTTGACCATTGAAGCAAACTAAGAGTTCTCAGAATCCCACATTTCCTACACCATCATGCAAGTCACTAACTAGACTAACAAACTCTCTGCTTTTGCAGTAATGTCACTCTTTAAAGCATATTATCAATCACCACCTACATACATGGATCGGTGGTTTTGGCCATCTCGCACAAGTCACATATTTTAGCTGAATTACCCATGAGCAGTCCTCTATTTCAATTAAACCATCTTCAACTATATGAATCACTAAAACCATGTTTCATCCAAATATTTCTAAAATTGGTCTGTCAATGGAAGAATTAACATGTCAACCAATCTTTCTAACTAGCAATTACTAACATGAAAAATGGATCATATTTTCCAGAGCCAATCTAATTCTATTAAAACACCTGAGCACACAATTCAGCTTAATACTTTCGTTTCATCTAATCGAAAGGAAGCAAAATTAGCAAGCACACGAAAACCCATCTTTCTAACTAACTACAAACATTAAATTAAAAAATAATTTAACCCAAATTCCACAATAGATCATATCATATAATGAAAAATAAGAAGAAAAAAAGAGGGGGATTGTTATAATACCCTCATCTCAGAATTGCCGAAGAAAGTATCGAACAGCTTGCGAAAGGCTTGACCCATTTTGCCTCTCCGCGAATCAGAAGAAACTGGAGAGTAAAGCTTCAAACAGAGAAGCTATTTCACCTAATTATTGTATTTTGATGATCGATTTGAGATGAAACACAAGTACAACTTGTGCTTCAACAGAAGCTAGCCTTGTTTTTGCTGGCGACTTCTCTGGCTCTCTCTGTTTCTATATTATATTTGCTATATTTTTATTTTTATTTTTGGCTTTTTTCTTTTCTTTTCCAACGTAATTGTATTCATAATTTGACTTTTCTCTGTTCCCTTTCTCTTTTTTTTTTCCTTTCTTTTGTTTCCAGAAGAAATAGATAGAATTAGCAATCGAGAGAGAATGATATGAATTTTATTAATTTTGAAAACATCTTACGTCCAAATATTCTTAGTTTAAGTGTAATAATATTATTATCAAAAAAATTTATATATATATATAGTTTTTTAAGTTATTATTTCTAATAAATATATAAAAAGACGATTGAACATTTCATATAATTAACGTTAAAAAATTGTAAACAATTGACTTAACTGGAAAGGACATACATGATACATGTAGTAAAATTAATACTAAATCAAAAACAACACACTTTCCGGCTACCACCTTGAACCCACAGAAAAGTGAATCAAACTAAACTATCTATATTATACTAATTTGTCTTCAATAAGCTAAAGTTACATAATATCCTATTGAATCGCCTCTTATCAATACTCTTTTATACATACTTTTAAATCACATATCTCTTCAAATCATCTTAGTCTCACTTTTCTCAAATTCTATCACTAGTAATCTAAGTGACATTATCGAAACATACCATATTGGTTACATTTCGAATACACTTTCTACCTTAGTCTTCCTAACTTTCTTTCTTCCCTCCAAATTTATTAGGCATTCAATAAATTTGAAAGAGTCTCCGGCCTTCCCAGATGACCGAAAAGGGGAAAAATAAGAGAACACGTCAAACTACAGACTCTTTAAAAAGTCATCAAAATATAATAAATCTAATAAATATTTTATGCGTTCATTTAGAGAGGAATGACAAAATGAATAATTTATATTGATATTCATTCAAATTATCCATCTTAAATGAGTTTGAATTTAAAATAATAAAAAGTGAATCAAATTCATATTACCGATGAATAGTTAAATAGATTAAAAATAAAACTCATTTATAAAAGTAATATTTTTGTAAAGGCATAGATAGTCGGGTTAGGTATTATGGGATACTAAAAAGAATCGATATTTATTTTTTTTGGAAGGGGCTAGAGAGGGGAGAAGTAGTAAACATAAATTTGATATTTTTTTTAAGTAAAAACAAATTTCAAAAGATTAATTTATTAGGCGCTGAACGAGGTAAGAGATTTTGCTTTTTAAAGCTCTTTTAATATGATCCCTTATAATAATATGGGTAAAAATATGAATACTCGTATTATCCATCGAAGCATTTTCATCCATTTAAAATATGAATAGTACATTTAACCCATTTTTATTTAACTCATTTTCAATCGTTTACAGCAAGAACTACGCTATTACAATAAAATGATCCATGTTCTCTTCAACTGTTTAAACTGTTGCCATAATGAAACAGAGAGTTTGATGAGAACTCAAAGATGGCAATCAACGATAACATTTCCAACGAAAACCACATATACCAGTAATAAAGCAACTAGTAAAAATTCATACTTCTGCATATTGTGTAAAAATACACTTCTGCATATTGTGTAAAAATACACTGCCGTTTCCACCAAAAACCAAAAATGATTACTGCACAACCGGCCAATGCCTGTATACATTAATAAACCTACTCTCGATGGCAGATATCGAGGTCAACTAAATAAATCCATCAATTCCTCTAGCCAACTACAGTATCGAAAATGAAACCATGAATGGACCATACACATGTTGTATTCCTAGATTAGGATCTAACTACCTAGACCCAGCCAACACTTCCCTTGAATCACTGCCACAAGACCGAGAGATCACTCAGTACTAATGTGAGAATTTTTGCAACACAACGGAACTTTAAAAAAAAAAGAAAAGATGAGGATATGCTGGCCACTAAAGTTTGTGATTAAACACTCCAAGCACCCACATCACCTTCAGGGTACAAACGGGTATATGTGAACATTGTGGATCTCATGAATCCACCATTTCATCTTGGATCTCATTGGGTGCAATTAGACCAGGAATAGAACGCATCCGCTGACGTTCCCTCTCTCTCTGAGCAGCTGCTTCCTCGGCATAAAGGTCCTTATTGTCCTGCAGGATAAGTGAATAATCCAAGTGCGTTGAGTGGTAAAAAAAGAAGAAGCTAAATACCAGAAAAAATGAATAAGCTAGTTAAAAACATCAGTACATCACACTAATAAGAACAAGATAATATTAGACTCAAAAGCCCAGAACTCATGAGTAAGCAATTCATCTCTATAGCTAAACTTCTGAAAGGAAAGGGGATGATAAAACTAATGACAATTTGCTCAGCTTTTTCATCCAAGGAAGAAAAAGAACTGAGCCTGCATATAACGAAAAAACAAAAAAGAGTTATTGCCAAAAACTGTTTTTAGAATCAAGTGGATTCAGGGTACTTGTTAGAGAAGTTCTTCCACTCAAAAATTCCTCAGAGAGCTTCAAAAATAACCAGAACTACTCCAGCAATTTTTCTTTTTTCCACTAACTTCTTTTACCCTTTTTTTACAAAAACTTTTTCCCAAGTCATCTCACAGGCTTAGATCTGAGCTTAGCATGTCGTTATAGGAACTCAAAATATGACCTATCATCTGTAAATAAGCCATGGTATATCCCAGCACAGATGCGAATAATTCGGAGTTTTTATGACAAATATTCATCTATTAAGTACATGAATTTGTGGACATGGGGTAGAAAAAGTAGCCGTAAATTGAAGTGGAACTCACAATATGACTACGGTTGCAAACATTGACAACCTAAAGCTAGACAAAATTTAATTCATTAGAATCACGACAAAGTTCTTTGTCGTCGCTGTGTTCCATTTAAAATATCACTCAGAGACCGGCATACAGATTAAACAAAATTTCAGAACTTGAACTTTTTATTTGGTAGGGAAACATGTGAAGGTCACAGGTCACATTGATTTTTACATTTTGGGGAATTTGAGAAAAAACATGTAATGAATTGGATTAAGAAGAAGGGTCCTACAACTTACAAGTTCTTTTCTTTTTCAGGACAATGCTCACCATTACAGGGGAAGGGGGTAGAGAAATAGAAGACCTTCACACACACCCAACCCAAACAATCAATCTTGGAACAAATGGTCTACTTGAAACACTAACCTGAGCAGAGAACTCTTTTGATTGCACAAGGAAGTCCCTTATGTGATTCTTGAATGTTGGAAGGTCATTTGTTGAATCAAATAGCCCACTGACAAATTGAGTCACCTGAAGAAAGAGCAAACCATCACAAACATATAAACCAAAAATATATACAAATTGACATAAAAAATATCATGCAAAACTTATGCGCATACTTCAGCAGCGGTCATGTTGGGGAAGGATGTACTAAGAAGCTTAATGGTGTATTCGCGAACAAACTCAACATTATTTGGATATGAACAAGGCACAGTAGAAGCATCCCATAGAGGCTCAGACAACATAACTACCTGAAATCATAGCACTATGTTAAAAAAAATACTAGTACAACTAGGAAAACCTATCTGTTAGGTTGACACGTACCATGCAAAATAAGTGCTGTAGCACCAATACATGCAATTTAAACCCAGGCTTATGAAAAGTATCTGTCAGAACAGCAAAAATTTCTTGCTCGATCGTCAAATAGTAAGTCCTATAAAACTGGTTAGCAAACTCAGAATTCTGCCATGAGAGAAGAAACTGTTAGACCTTCACCACATATGTTCAACATAAACAATCAATCTGATGGCTACAAAATAAAGAAGCACCTGAAAATTTTTCAGCATTGCCAACAAAAGATTAAGCCCGGTTTCAGCAATGTTCCTCTCAGTGTGCCGAAAAGCCCATATTATAGAATCCATGACAAGTTTCAATTGCTGATCAAAAATCAGGAGAAAATGAGACCTATCATGAGTTCATCCAGACATTCTAAATAAAGATGACATCCAGACAGATCTCCCTGAAGGACTGGAAGCTTCATAAACTAGAATTGCTGGTCCATACATTACACACACAGCAGGAAAAAATACATACCTCACTCGACAGCCTTATCAAAGCAGCAAAACAATGTGTAGCAATTGCACGAAGTAATGAAAAGAACTTGAGTCGATGCTCCGGATAATCTTCAAAGTTTTTTGTGATCATCTGTTGTACATAAAATGAATTCATCAAACAGACCATGTGAGCTCGATGATTAACTTGTCAAATGTTTGTTGAAGTAACCAAATTATCTCTAAAGCATATGTCATCCTGGATAGGACATACAAACAACTGCCTATTAAAACTGCTACAGATAAACGCAGGTAAGGACTCTAAAAACAGATACAAATGCATGTATAAAGAACCGGAATAAACAACTCTCAACCAAATAAATGAGGAAGGAGAATAGTATCACCAAATTAATACCTAAACAAACACATCTATTAGCTTCATGAGAAGATGGAGTAATGCAGCAATAGGAATGCCCTTTATCAAACAAGTAGCTTATGCAGGAAACATTTTTTTAGTCAAATAATGCTAAGGATGGCGTTTGGAACAGAGGCATAGCTGGTGTACTGTCGGGATGACTTAGTATAACAAGAGGAGGCTACACGTAAAGCTATTACAAAATTATTAACCAAAAGAATAGAAGTGAACTCAGAAAAAGAGGGGGAACAAACCTCCAGAGTACACTGGAAAGCAGCTTCAAATATTCGAGGGACATCCTCAATCATTGCCCCCTTGTACCTAACAAGAAAAATGGTGGGTGTATCATGAGAAAATGGACAAAACTGGCAAATAACAGAAATTCCTTGAATTCTTAATCATTGGAGCAGACAGACAGACAATATACGATCTCAGGCATGCTGAGTGGTGGTGGAGATGGGGTGTGTTTGTGTGGGTAGAGGGAGGGAGGGGGGGAGGGGGGGGGGGAGGCGTTACGTTGGTTTAGTAATTGTAG